GGGGGTAGTGTCTCCGTGACACGCGTGTACATTTTGGAAAAAAAAACGAAGTGCGCTTCCAATCCGCTGACACACACGTTATAAAACGACTAGACAACTAGACCGTACGAACAGGTTCCGCGTGGTGCAAGACGGATATGTAACCGAGACGAATTATTGATGACGACTCGCGAAAAACGTTTGTTTTTACCGCGCAATATTAGAGACGAATTAAGTGGACTCGACTGAACCCGTTTCTTATATTTCTTGTATTGTTGTTGCACGGCTCACGGCACAGACGAATTTCCGTTGTATTCCATGAGTGCGCGTCGTCAACGTTTACTCTCTCGGTATGACGTACGGTTGACGGGCGCTCCGTTTACTCGTATTCGCTGTTAAAAATAGGTAAAATATTTAATTCGTAAAAAAAAATAATAATAACATTGTGGTTCGATTATATGTTATTACGTGATGTCAATCGCACAGCCATTTCGAAATACGGACGCGTACCGAACACGCCAGGTACGCTATCAGTAGGTGGACTAAGCGTCTATATTTGAAGCGCACAGTGAACGAAACTATCTGTTTTATCTTGATACCAAGGCGCTAATATTGCGCGTCTTTAACTGGATATTCATTTCAGCATTCATATGCCTCATCTCTATCCGGAGTTTAGAAATGTGTTTTTCTAGAACGCCGCTCGTATAACGGAGTCGGTTATCCATACGTTGCGGTAACCGAGTTGTTTTATCTAGTTGTTTTACCTGTCTATGACGGTTCACTCCCCCAGACCTTATCCGCCCCATGTGTTGCCCCGAACATGCGTAGGCGTATTATTATATCCGCATGTTCGAAAGTTTATCATGTGGACGAGCGTGGCGCCCTGGCGACTGCATCGCTCGTCATAATTCACAAAATATTATTATTATTAAAATTACCATTCATCCCGTCCAAATTGATTGCGGTGCGTATGATATTCGAATATTTGTCTCGTCGTCCGTCCTGTCACTGCGGGGAACACACGGTGTTCGCGTAGGCTACGTGGGCGTACGGAGGGGTCGAGGGAAACGGAATACACGAAATGGGCTGCCCCCGTTTATAACATAATACTGGTTATATACGATTTTTCGATATTAACGAGCAGTGACCGACGGAAAAATCGACCAATAATAAAGAAAAATATCGAAAACAGCCTCGATTTACATAATAACATTACTATTATCCTTATCAACAATAAAGTGACCCATTTGGAAGGGGGCTACTGGGATATTTGTCTTAGTCTATTTGTTAACATTGTCGGTATTTCGGTTGTTGGGTGTAAACAACCGAATGCTCCAAATCAAAAAAAAAAATTAATATTTTTGTTGAAACGGTGTTAAAAATATTCGTATCGATTTTATGGACATGAAATTCGGACAAAAAACTTGTATTTAGCTTTTTTAGACGCAGTAATATATAAAAAATTTAATTCATTTTTTAGCTATTTTTAGACGAAATTTTTATTCGGTAAGTACTCTGTGGTAAAATTATTAGACTTAACAGAAATGCTTGAAAATTTAACAGGGAATTCATTAAGAGTCTTAATTTGTGATCGAAAAAATGAAATTTAAGTTTAATGTAGTATTTTTTTTTTTTCAAAGGCATTTTATTATCGAATTTTAATGAAAACTCAAAAGATGGCTCGAGAAAAAGAGAAATGGAATAAATTAAAGAATTTTGACTAGAGAATTGAAACTAGAAATCAATTTTCTATTGAGTGAACTTTCAGAAGGCGTTTTCCTGCCAATCCACAAATCGTACGACTGCATGAATATGAGTGCATCAATGTTTAATACTGTACATGTCGAATAGACAAAAGACAACTGTGATAGGTTATTGATCGGAACGAGCGCAAGTCTGAGAAATCCGACCCGTTTTCTATTCGTTCGCCTAAAATCTTCACTAGAATCGGCACGAGAACAATTTTCGGTAAATAATGCGTGCCGACATTTTTCAAGCGAAAAAAAATTTAGCCACTCGCTTTAGCGACTTGGCCGAGTTTTATAAGCCCGGCACAAGACGGATTGACGAGACGCGCGGGGTGGAGACGTCCTTTTCATATTTTTTCTTATCTCGTAAACGGTACCTGTGTGTTAATAATTTGCCACTCGAGAGACGACGACGACGGCGACGTTTTCTACAGTTCGGTCCATCCGGATGACGGTTCATTATCGTTCATCACATTATTCGGAGGCGGCGATATTGTGGACACGACCGCCGGGCCCACACTATCTTTCTCTCTCTCTCTGTCTCCCCCCCCCGCGTGTGTGTCTCTCTCTAATGCTCTCTTGGCCGAAAACGACCGGGGCGAGAGTGACGGACCGCGCGCACTTTTGCGGGTCGGTAATCCTCCGCCCGCCGTCGAAAGGGCACCGTAATACCCGTCCTCGAAATCCGCCCGCGGTCCGTCCGCGGATAACAATAATATCACTGGTACACGTATACGTTTTATAATATATCGGGCGTGCGTATGATTTACGGGCGCCGTTGCGCGTAGTATTTTCCCGGAGAGGAGGCGACGAGTCGGCGAGGAGAGGGGGGGGAGGGGGAAAGAGCGAGAGAGAGAGAGAGAGAGAAAAAACACCGAAGAAAGGAGCGCGCGCGCGTGTGTACGCGTGTGTATGCGCGTTTACGGGCGCGGGGTACTCGTCCACTGCCACCGGGTTAGTGTAGGTACGCGTACACATACACGAGTGTGTTTACAAACGAGGAGGCGGCCAGGGGATTACCCTAACAAATATTTTCGCTCTCGTAATTTTTCACGCGTCCGCACGCACACGTTTACGCGCGCGTAACGCGTGTATAGGTATATGAAATCCCGACGCGGACTTAGATCGCACACCGAGATCTCCGGGGCCGCCGCCCGGATAAACGCCGCAAAACGTTTCTGCGGCCATCCATCTCTTTCGCGCCCGCCCGCCCGCCCGCCCGGACCGCCGGCCGCGTTACACGAATCGCGACAAAACGCGTGCCATTTCTCCGCGGATCAGATAGCCGTCTGCGCGGCGTGTACGAGATACGCGCGCGACGGCGGTGCGCGAGCGCGCGTACCCGGGCACGTCCGCCGCTCGGGCGGGAAACATCGAAAACGCGCGGCGCGGGCCGCGGACGTCGCGCCGCGCGGCCGCGGGCGAGAGGCCGAGCGGCCGGGACGTTTTAGGGAAAATCCGATCCACGTCCGCATTGCGAGTCGCCGAGCTATCGCTACGGCGGAAAACGATTCGGAGTCGCGTGTCCTTTGGACGGGCGCGAGTAAATTTCCCCGGTCTTTCTCGAAAATCATTGCGAAAACCGCTTGGAAAATCATGAGACGATTGTTTCAGAAATGGTACTAGACGTCGAGACACTGGAGCGGGATTTCCGGTAGAAGAGTCGGCGTTAGTGGATTAAAAAAAAAAAAAAAAAAAAAAAAAAAAAAAAAATAATAATAAACAGTGTTGTAAAACCGACATATTCCTCGCCACGCCCAGATTCTAGAAAAACAATGTCGACCATCGATACCGCCGACGGCCGCGTCGCTGTTTCAACTGTAAATGAGTGAAGCGAGGTCCGACACTTACCATTGACGTCTCGTCGGCAACACGAAAATCCACGAAAATCCACGAAAATTATACGACGAATTTACCGCGTTGGTTGAGAAAACTACGCGAGAAAACGAAAAATCACCCGCTCCGGGCTCCGACCGTATCGAAAATGTCGCAAGCGGAAAATTACTAAAAAGTTTTATTTTTTCATTTCGGGCTAGATGATTTCCGGTGAAAAAATTGTTCGCGGACACGTTGTGCTTTTGAAAATGATCATTTTTTCCAACGGTAATATTTCGTCTTGTCGGATTTTTTTTTTCGGATTCTCAAATAAATATTGTTTCGACGAAACACAATCGGCGGGACCGTAAAATAATAACTATACCTCCATAAGTACCTATTATATTAATAATATTTATTATAATATCGAAAGACTTTTTATTATTGTTCTCGGGTCCGCGGGTACGGACCTTTTTAATTATTGTTTTTTTTTTTTTTTTTTTTTCCATATCCATCCGATCAACGCGCGAAAAGAGACCTATTTTTCTGTCGCGTTTTTCGGTCCTAGCCAGTGTAGTTTATCACGGTAAGGTTTTTGGTATTTTTTTTTTTTCCATATTTTCTTATTTATATTCGATATAATGACGGCGAACTGGTTCGTTAGGCCGAAAGAGATTAAAAGATTAACAATACGGTTGTCATTGGCGACAATTTTCATACGATCCTCGTTAATATTTAGTGGTTATCGTTTTAACGTATCAATATTTTTTTTTTTTTTTAAACAATCGCCGTTGTTGTGAATACCAAACCTATTGAAAAAGCAATAATATATCGACCGAGCTCCGTTCAAAATCGTTTTTCGTTACCATCGAAATTCCCCTCTATATCCTATACCCTCCTGACTTTTCACCAACATTAGCAGTTGTCGTAACGCGCGATTAGTATGACGTCCTATTACCCGATGGCAATCCCTATCAGGTACGTTTGGCTCTAAACATGTGAAAATACGCGTAAGAACGTGATGCCGAGTAACTTAAAAACTGCTATTTTAAGTATTCACACGGTTATTTTATCGCGAAAAACTCTATCCGAGTATCGGCTTTTATTTATTAACTGTCGAATTTTAGCGTGTAAATACTCATCCGTAAATATTGAAATGAATCACTATTTCACTTAGTCATCGAATCACGTGAGAACAGCTTGACCGATTTTGCTGATTTTTGTTTGTTTTTTTATTGCATTCGTAATTGTCCGGGCGAGGTTTCTATCAAAGAAAATTTGTAAAAAGTCAACAGAATAAGTAGACAAATTGTAAACACTTAATTATGATATCTGGGATTTGAACTCGATACAGTTGCAGTTTCTATGACGGTCGTATTAATTGTATATTCTACGGACAGACCTATCGTCTAGTTGACGTGCTTTATTGTCATTTCTGCATCTCTTTGCATATTACGGTGAACATGATAAACGTCGTTTAACAGCTGCATCGGTCGGCGTCTATCGACAAATTTGCATTTATTTATATTTAATACACAGTCTATTCGAACCGAACGCTTGTATAGTTTTGTATTTGATGAGTGAATTTTCTATGAAGTTGATTTACGTATAAAATTAAAAGTTTAGTTTGATATCGATTTTAAAATTAAAATCCATGTACCGTTGTGCGTGTACCATTGGTATATGGAAAAATGATTTATTCATTTCTTAGTGCACAGTCCATTAGATCAGAACGTTTACCCGATTTCGAGTTTTTATGAGATGTGTATGTTCACCGCAGTTAGTTCTTCGCAATTTACAGTTAAATAATATATATGCCTACGCAACACGCAAGAGATTATTATTTTTCAGGCTAGTTGGAAATTTGGATGGTATTCGAGTTATGGCGTCAGTTCGTCACTGACAAAAATTTCGATTCATTTTTATACATATTACATACGGATTATGGCTGGATTTATATTCTCTTATAATCCACAAAAAGGCTCTTTAAAACATTGAAGAATCTCCGATAAAAACATTTACAAACATTTAAAAAAACAAAAATTATAGAAAAGTTTAAAAGTCCCCCGCCGATGGCTCTAACGTATGCAATTTAATTTTCTAACACTACAAAATTCATTCATACAAAACAATTTCTTTTAAATAAAATTGTACGTATTATAAACAAAATATTTTTTATCAAACATTTTTGTGATGTTAGAAAATTGTAATTTTAAAACAAATCCGTTAGAAAGGGCTCTATTAAACCGTTTTTATTATTTGTGCGTTTTTATACATGTTTTTCTATGCTTTTTGACGTTTTCAACTGGTTTTTCGTGGATTTTAAAAACATACAAATACGGTTTCTGAATTTATAACAATCGAGTTATTAATTTTGTTTTGTCGGCCAATACGTACATAACTGCATAAAAGGAAAGCCACGTCATATGCAAGTGACGATTGTAATACGGTACACGCGCTCTCCCACTGTCGAGCGTTCCTATTCCCCTATAGGTTTAGGTTAGGCCTCGTTTCCTTTGAAATCTCCTCTCCCCCCCCCACCGCGAAATTCGGCGTTTAGATATTTTTGGTATGAAAATCATAAAAAAAAAAAAAAAATGTCACGACAGAACACTTTTAGCCCGCCAAAGGTGGACTACCCGCTTTCCGCCCGTTGTTTGTTTTCGTTCAATACCGAAATGTAATACGGATCAAACGAATAATAAAAATTGGCACGGGCGCCGACGGGCGGGACAGCCAGCGTTTCGATATTATATTGCGAGTGTTTAACGCATATTATGTGTGCTTTTGTCGGCGCGATATTTAATCTCCGAACGACCGAATTGTGAGAAGATGGTGACGCGTAAACGCTAAGCGAGCTTACGTTATCGCACGGGTCGGGGTATTTGTCTCTCCCGCGCCACGTATGATGCGATATTCGAATGCCGCGCGGCATAGACGTCCGGGCGGGGGGAAAAAAAAAAGAAAAAAGTCGGTCGTCTCGTCTTTCCCGGACGGGTCTCCTAGACGTTACGGGACCGTCGGCGAATTTTCCCGGATCCGGCCCCCGCGGACGCGACGGCATTCTGCGCTTTGACCGGGTCGGCCGGGCGCGCGCAAAGGCCTGGGGACCCCCGGACAAAAGGCTCGCGCGTTCTAATGCGTCCGGCGGCGCGCAAACGAGCCTTTCGCCTTGTCCCGAGGCGCGGCGGCGGCGGCCTTTAACGTTGCTCTTTTCCGTCGTCGCCGTCGGTCCTTTCCGCGTCCTAACGACCGCGGCACGACGGACGAGACGTTAACGCGACGATAAGCAGATTCGCCTTTAATCTATTATTGCGGGCGAGCGCGCGCTACGCGAACGCCATTATTATTTCGAACCGTCGCGGCCGCCACTCCCCGACGCAGACACCGCCGGGAGCACGGGAAACGCGACACTAATGCCATTACGGTGTGATATCCAATAACGGCGCGGAACGGAACGTTACACACTAACACGGTGCCCGGCGTGTGCGCGCGCGCCCGCGGGTCCGATCGGACGGACGCGGCTTAGCGTTTGATCCGCGGCCGCCGCGGGGTCGGGCAATTCGAACGGGCAATGATTACCGTCGATTGTGACGGCAACGGCGTCAACGATAATAACGCGACGGCGGTATTACGAGACGCGGCGAGACGCGGTCCGGTCCGAGTGCGCGATGCGGCGCGACGTCGCGACGTCGTTGGGCGAAACGGCCGGGGGTCGAACGGAAAACGCCGCCGCGGCAACAATGACCGCGGACGATCGGTCCGGACCGAGCGGTTCGCGGCGGTCCGCGGCCGGCGGATCGTCCGGCGATCCCGCGACGTTTCGCTCCGCGCACCGGGCGTGGAAACGGCCGCGGCGGACGCGATACCGCGAAACTCTCACGCGGCGGGCTCGCCGGTTTCGGCGAAACGGCCCGTCAAACGGATCGTGTTTCACCACCACCCGCCCGACGCGTGCGAAACAAGCGTGGACGAGCAGCCACCGCGCGCGTTCGAATCCGCGGGTCCCGTGGTTACGCGCGCGTTAGAGCGTCAGCCCCGGTCCGGACGGTTCGACGGCATCGCTCACGGACCCGGAACGACAAGCGATTAAAGTGGTAACAGCCGTGTTGATAAAAAAAAAAATAAATATGATTACGTACGAAACCAGAATAAATAAACGAACGGATCCGGTCGCCCGCGGTGTTGTCATTAGACGCGTGTTATACGCGCTCGGTTTCGAATTGAAAATTCATCATCGGCTACACCGCAGCCGTAACGTGACTTCGTTACCGTCGAATCAACGAAACCGTCGATCGGACAATGGCCAAAGAATTATATACGCGAGGCCATAGAGTGTCGGGATGTAAAAAAAAAAAAGAAAAAAAAACCGGAGAAAAACAAACGCGTGCGAATTCGGAATATCGCGCACGGAGTCCGGGGAAAAATCCAAAGCCCAGACGGGACCGGGGAACGCGGCGTGCGGGCGGGACCAATCGCGGGGACGACGTTACGACCGTTGTCCGTCCGGTGGCCGCGTCCGTCTCGAGTTTTGGGGCTCCGTCCGGTCGCCGCTCGGCATTTCCGCCGCGCTCGTCGCGCGAACCGCGTTCTCGGGTTCGCGGGACCCGACGAACGCGACGATCCGGGTTCGAGAACCGCCGCCGGTTACGTACGCCGTCGTGGATCCGTACGTTCTACCGTCACTCCCCCCAACCCCGCCAAACGCCCGCCCGGACGGTTTCTCGTCCGACGGACAATACGACGTGACGTCACGTCGCCGTACACGCGTCCGTGCGTTGCAATAATGACAACAACAACAACAACAACGACAATAATAACAATAATAACGATATTCCGTATTATTACGTTTATTTGCGCATCGTCGCGCCGTCAACCGTCCGAAAGCTCATCCGTTATCGTTGTTGCCGCCCGTCAAACGAAACGGGGGGGGGGGGGG